AATGTATCTGATGTCACTCATCAGATACGTTTAGTTTATCTCTCTCTCTCTTTTTTTTTTTTTTGAATAAAAGGAGGTATATAATTTACTGAGAATTAGTAGCAGGTATCCAGCCTAAGGTAGCAGAATGAAGGGGGCAGTGTGAGAAGTGGTGCTTGAGAACAAAGAGAGGCAGGCCCAGGAGGATTTATGATTTGACAGGGGTCACAGGAGTCAAGGAGCTGCAGAAGCAACCAGAGGCACAGCTAGAGGGGACAGCACTCAAGAGCTGCAAGTGCTCAGCAGACCAATGCAAAAGACAAAAAGCAAATAAAAATGCTGAACAGGGTAAAACTATATGGTAAACGTTTTATGGGAAAAAGCCTAAGGCTCTTCTTGGAGAAAACAGCAATCAAAGGAATTCAACAGTGAAAGATTCATCTGCGAAAGGACTATATTGACCAACTGCTCCATGTTCAAAAGCTTGACCTATTTGCAAGACCATCCTAGAATCTGAATCACTATTCTATCTTCAACAATTCAGGTTGATACTGAACTGCCTCCAAATATCTGTCCCCCTTTCCTCCTACCCTTCAATTAGCTTTATTGTAAATGGACATAGATATGGATAAAGATAAAGGTATTAATACAGGTGCATATAAAGATAGCAAACATTAAAAGAAGTTAAATGTGTGACACAAATTTGTAAACCACAGTAAAGAGACAAGTGAATGTTTTTCTTATTTACTATTTGTTCTAATGTTGCTGGTTAGGCAGAGTTTACTCTTTTTTTCTGCAGAATGTCGGAAGATAAAGTATCATCTATAAAAAGATATCACTGATAAACTTTAAAAGATACTTTCAGGGGCCCACAGGTTGAATGGTGGTTAAGGGCATTGAACTCCCACATGGCTGATTGCGGTTCAAGTCTTGGACCTGGTGACTAGCTTTCTCATTTTCCCTTTCTCTCTTTCTCTCTAGCTCTGTCCCTCCCTGGTCAATTAAAATAAATAAGGAAATGAAATTAAATAAAATAATTCTTTTTTACAAAGATCCTTTCAAATAATGTCTACCAAGTTGACTATAAGAATATTTGAAGTTATTAAATTTTAAAACAGCAAACTTATTTTTTAAAAATTTCATATATTAATAATGACAACTCTTATTTATTGAGATAGAGTTCACATGATTATATCTAATTACAGATGAGAGAACACGCCATGATACAGAAGAGTTACATAACCCACTCAAGCACACAAAAATACTGAGCAGTGCCAAAACCAGAATTCGAACCTCGGTGATTTGGCTCCAAAGACTGTGCTCCTAACCATACACTAATATAAACAAAACTAATAAAAAGAAAACCATTCCAGGTAAAGCTGTGCAAAAGCAAAGAGAAAACCTCAAAAGCAACCAGTGAAAGAAGTCAGAATACTTTCCTTTTGAAATCAGAGTACTTTTAAAGCAGCAAAAGTTTGTCTCTGAACAATATAAATGAATGGATGACAATTTCTTTCTTTTTTGATTGCCAGAGTGTGTGTGTACTCACCAGAAAGTGACAGAAAGAGAGAGAAGTATTGGGTTCTTGGACAAGTCATGATGCATCTTTGCATAGAAAAACAGAATAATATGTGATGACTTTTCTGATAACCCAATAGAAAGCACCTCCCAACAGAGCATGGTCATGCTGCAATCTCATCTCCTTCATTTCTCTGTCAGGATTTAGAATACAAACACAGAAGTCCCTGGTGCGCTTTTCAAGCTGCCTGGGCCCAATTCAGGCTTCAGGTGGCCACGTAAGATCTGGTTCCCTTATCCGCTAGGCTATGGGGCCAACTGTTGTAGTCATTTTTCAATTTGCTGAAATAAAACTAATCTCCCATCTAGAATTTTCTACCCATGAAAATTTATTTCACAAATAAATATTTAAAATGACACTTATCAGGCAATCAAAAATTGAGGATATTTGCCTCCAGAAGATCCTCAGTGAAGGAAAATTAAAATCATGTACTTCAGCACAAAGAAGTGATCCTAGATGGTATGTGTAAAGTGCAAGAGGAATTTTAAAAAAACAAAGCAAGTGGTAAATACACAGAAAATTCTAAATAAAAATATTTCTTGAATAAAATAATAAAATAATATTTTGGGTTAATACCATAGTAAATTATTAGGATAGTAAAAATATGCATAGTACTTAGGTATTTGTGTTGTCCTCAGGGTAACCCTAAAAGCACAGAAAATGAGTAGATAATTTTAAAACTCGTAGAAGAAAAATGAATGATAAAAATACAGAAGAAGGCTTGAAAGAGAGAAAAACATAGAAGGCCAGAACAAGTAGATGCACAAAATAACATAGCAGATCTAAAACCAAGTATATCAATATTTACATTAAATGTAAATGGATTACATTCTCTAGTCAGGGCCAGCTTATGGTGTGGTAGTTGGGGAACTGGATCCCCCATGACCGACTACGTGTATAGAGTTCTGGACCTGGAGACATGCCAGCCATGTGTGCATGTGTGCCCAAAATATCAAAAGGAGAAATGGAGGAGAAGGGACTGCATCTCTTTCTGATAAGTATATCAGAAAAACATTCAAAATAGCCCATAAGTAAAAAAAAAAATCAGAATAAAAAGTATAGAACTATTTTTAACTAAAAATCGTGGCAATACTACAATTTTTTAAAAAAGGTCATGAGATACAGTCAAAGCAATGTTTAAAAAGAACTTCATAACCTTAAAATATACATATTAGGTAATGAAGGGCTGAATATTCTATCTCAATAAGTCAGTTGGTTGGGAAAGAACACAAAAACAGTGAAAGAAAGTCTATTATTATTTTTAATGAAATAAAACTAATTAATGAAAACCTCTAATGACAAAATTCAAAGAAAGAGAGAGGATACACAAATAACCAGTACAAGGAACAAAAGGGGCATATTATTACAGGTATATGAAATAGATAAAAATATGAGAGAAATTTAAATAAAATGTGCTAATTCCTAGGAAAATCGACTTAAAGTGATTCAGAAGAAATAGAAAAAATATTCTTTACTGAGGTAGTAATTGAAATATTTAAAACTTCAGGCCAGGGGCAGGCAGGTGGCATGGTGATTAACATGTTAGAATCCCATATGGCCGATCATGGTTTGAGTCCTGGATCTGGTAGCTTGCTTGCTTTCTCGCTTTCTCTCTCTCTGTGTCTCATCAACTTAAAAAATAATCATAATAAATTAAATTAAACAATTCTTTTTAAAAAAATTTAAAAACTTCAGCCCAGCCCAATGGCCTAGTGTTTTGGAGAGCCAGATTCCACATGGCCAGCCATCAGTTCAAGTCTCAGCCTGGAGGTTTGAAAAACATGCCAGGTATATGTGCATGTGTGAATGCCCAAAATCTAATAGGAGGAAGAACTGGATTACAAAGGATTGAAATGTTACCATGCTCCACTGGGGAGAACTTTCTCCTTCCCTTCTCTCCCTCTCTTTTTTTTTGGAGAGGTTTTTGCTATGGGGTGCGTGCACTCGCCAGACAGACAGAGACAAACAGAGAGATAGAAAGCGAGAAATCACCCCCCCCCCCGAGGGGGGATGGCCACACCGCAATCCCTTCTCCTCCATTCTCCTCTCAGGATCTTGGGCACGCATGCACACGTGCCCGGCGTGAGTTTAAGCCACCAGGTCCAGGACACGAACCGCGGTCGACTACGTGGGAGTCCGCGACATAGCCATTACGCTAACTGCTGGTCCCACCTTCTCTCCCTCGCTTGCTCTCTTTGTCTCTCTCTGCAATTAATTTGTTTTTTAAAACTTGGTTTGACACAGGCACTAACCATCAGAAAAGACACTAGTCCAATCATAACTTATTCCAACTCTAGTAACCAGTACGCCAAACCAGTGCTTTACAACCTGCCTCAAACTATTAAGAATTATATCATGGGACCAGCAGATGGTATAATGGTTATATCACTGGGCTCCCATGTAGTTGACTTCAGTTTGAGTCCTGGGTCTGGAGGCTTACAACTCATGTGAGGCACATGTGCGTGCATGCCCAGAATTTTGAGAATAGAATGGAGGAGAAGGGATTGTAGCCTGGCCATCTCCCCAGGAGGGTGATTTCTTGCTTTCTTTCTATCTCTCTGTGTCTCTTCAGTGTGTGCATGCATCCTATAGCAAATCTCTGTCTAAAGAAAAAACAAAACAGAATTGTATCACTAGTCTTATATTTTCTCTCAAAGTAAACAGTAAACCAGATGGCTTTCTTTACTGATAAATTCTACCAAACATTCATGGAAAAACTGTTGTGTAAAACTTATGCAAGCTTCACCAGAAACTACAAAAACACAATATATTTATCAACTCATGAGTTTAGCGAAAGCCTGATACAAAAAATATCTGATAAGAATAGCATGAAAAAAAAAAAAATCCTGGCCCAAAATTACTCTCGAAGACAGGCAAAAATCCAAATAGTTCAGAATACAATAGCTAACCACATCCAGTGAAACCAACAATGATGGTCAATTTGAATATATCTCAGGAACACAAGGTTGATTTAACACTATGAAATTAATGAGCACATTGAAAGAGAAAGATCATGAAATTATTTTAATAGATACAGTAAGATTCATGACAACAATTTTTAGAAAAGTGGCAGTAGAATAGAACTTCCTTAAAGTGATAAAGAATAACTACCAAAAAAAAAAAAAGTTAAATATCACATATTATGGTGATACACTGAAAATTTTCCCTCTGAGATCAGGAAAAAGGAATAGGATCTTCTTTACTCAGAATGTCTCAGGATTTATTTATTTTCAGATTTATTTCACTGGACAGTATGGATTCCATTAGGTTGTTGGAAAAGTCATGAAGTATTTTTCTGTGTTTTTCTTTCCCAGCAACCCAATATGCTGTTCTTTGTTCTTGTCTCTATGATAAGAGGATGCCCTCTAGTCTTTAAGTTATAATGGCCAAATTAAGCTTTATATCTAAATGGAAGATTTCGTTCAATGATTATATTACCTACCATAGGTTCCGTTTCCCTCGGAGGTTTGTCCAGGGGAGGAATGTACCATTGAAAGCACAGTTCCTTGTTTAAAGCTTGCGTTGCCATATCTGATGACATCATCTCTGTGCAAGACGGGCTGGCAAGGAGCCTTAGAGATAAAACGGAGTGTATGGAACTGTCGCGACATAACTAGGAAACAAACAAAACTGTCAGTTTAATTACTGATGATGAAATTATTTAACATATAAGACAAATTAATTGGCTACACTGGAAAACTTTGGGAATCTCCTCAGCTTGTTTTTGGGCAGATCTTAAAATTGTCCCTGAATTATCACAGATTTTCCAACTGCAAAAATGTGCTTCAGAACCCAGTGAACTCAACAAAGGTCTTCAATGTGTTAAGTCTTCTGGGAGGGAGGGGAAAATGCTCATGGCAACCAAAGCCTCAAGGTCACCCCTGTTTTCAACAATACCTATTTCATTTCTGGTTTACTTATTGGCAAGTAAACTATGGATATAGTTATGATTTATTATCTATTTTCTAACAGTTTTTTTGAAGTGCCATTTGCAAATAAGATACTTTTTGCTCTACAAAGTTAAAATGACTTCCTCCTTAAAAGAATGTGGCTGATTTATAAGTTTAGTCCTTGGTAAATCTGAGCCCAGCTTCTTTAATCAAACTTAGTGATTGATTCTGACATCTTCAAGAAACCTAACTGTGTAAAATGAAATTGGCAGTTTCATAAATTATTTAATTAGTTGCTTAGAAAGCTAAGAGAGCAAAGCATGTTGTGCATTATCAACAAAACAACAGGCTAGCCAGAGAGATAATAATAGTGATAACAATATCTCAGATCTAGAAAAGACCTTCCATAGAGTTCAAACTCCTTTCAAAATTAACCTCTTGATATTCTCAAGATTATAGCCTGGTAGCTGGGGAGCACTTTCTCTGTTACACTCTTTTTGACATCTAAAGCCTCTCACGGTTTGATGGACAACAGAAACATGTCAGTGGCCAGAAATAAATGCCAGGTGTTTCTAGAGGCTTTGTTCCTCCCATTATTTCTGAGGCTATTCATGACATAAGACTATAAATGCAAGTCTTCCAAATAAAATAAAAAGGAAAATAAAGACACTGACCTTTCAAGCTGTCTACTGATAAAAGAAAAAAGGTGTTTTGACTGAAAGGTAATATTAAATGTGGAAACTTTTTAAAAAGGTCTGAAGACTATCATAAAAGGATATTTTAAGCCAGAATCCTCACTTACTAGCACAATACTTAAAGTATGACCAAAATGCACAAAAAGCAAAATTATTAGAGATATATAATCATTTGAAAAAGATTAATTGGGACCAGCAGTTGGCATAATGGCTACGTCGCTGGACTCCCATGTAGTCGACCACAGTTTGCGTCCCAGACCTGGTGGCTTAAACTCCAGCCGGGCACATGTGCATGTGTGCCCAAGTTCCCGAGAGGAGAATGGAGGAGATGGGATTGTGGTGTGGCCATCCCTCATGGGGGGTGATTTTTCGCTTTCTGTATCTCTGTCTCTCTTTGTCTTTCTGGTGAGCCCATGTGCCCTATAGCAAAAACTCCCTCCCAAAGAATAATTCTATGTCAAGCTGTTCATTAAAAAAATAAGCAAATAATTGATTCAAAAAATAATTTCTCATATGTTTCATTTATGAGTGACTTTCAGAGGTTCTGACAACTATTTCAGCAAAGAATTCATATTTAATAGCTGGCTAAGTATTGAAAAATCAAAAGCACACAATTTTATTTCAATATGCTCAGTGTTTATTAAATGGTGGTCTCATAAGGTAACTTGTAACAGAAGTTAATATCATTAATTACTTTCCTAATTGATAAGTAATACATACATTTAATGAATTCTTTTTTAAGAAATATTTTATTTAATTTTATTCATTGTCTTTATTTTACTTTTTTGAAGTTGACCAGAGAGAGACAGAGAGAGAGAAGGAAAGTCACAGGTCCAAGACCCAAAACACGCTCAGCCATGTCAAAGTCCAGCCACCCTTACCACCACGCCATCTGCCAGCCCCTTAATGTATTCTTTTAATTCTTGAAAGATATGAGGGGGGCAGCAGGTAGTGTAGTAGTTAAGGTGCTAGACTCCCACATGGCTGACTGTGGTTTGAGTGTGGTTTGAGTCCAGGACCCAGTCCTTTAAAAACATGCCAGGCATGTATGTGTGCGTGCCCAAAATCTCTGAGAGGAAACTGGGGAGAAAAGATTGTGGCATGGCTGTCTTCCCTGGGGGAGTGATTTCTCACTTTCCCTCTCTCTATCTCTCCCTCTCTGTCTCTCTCAAGTGCCGCTATGATATAAACCTTAACAACAACAGGAGACCCTTAGTTTGTCACAGTCGTATAAACACAAAATCAGCTCACAATAGTCAGGTCTGACCACACAGACTGCCGCAAACAATGTGAGCATGAATGACAGCACGTGTACAATTTTAATCATACCCTCACCCTCTTTTGGAATTTTTAATGCAATTTGTTTGACACTTTTGTTTTTCCATCATGAAGCTCCAATAGACTTGACGATGCAGACTCACACAGTTGATGAGCACAACACGGAGCAATGATCATTCTGCAAAGGCATGTAGTTCTTTGTGGGAAAAAGTAGGTTTAAGTATCAAATTATGGAAAGAGTTTGATTGAAATAGCCTCCTGAGTGATTAAAGGTTCAAAAATGTTATTATAAAAATCAGCCAAGCTTGGAGTTCATATATATTAAAAAAAAAAATCCAGAAGGCTTTATGCTCGTTAGCTGTCTACCCCAGTGAAACGAACACATGATTAGGTAGCTTGCACCTGCCAGGCAAGCGACAGTGATCTCCAGAGCTGATTATCCTGGGAGAGTGTTATACTAATTATATCAAAAAAGAGCAAACAGGGTGAAACAACTCTTTGATAACACTGCTGCCATTAGAAATGTCATATGTATTTACAATGTATTCAGGGTTGTATCTTAGGAGATTATCCTTAGGAACTGAGTAATGATAGGCTGCCCTTAGTACTAAAATCCTCAAGCAGAGTTCCTTTCAGAATAGCATTTAGGAAGTCACACATGTTCATTTCCAAACTCTCATATAATATTGGCAAGCAAAGGCTCAATTACGGTACTGTTCTGTGCCTTCTGATTCCCTCTCCCGGCTGCAAAACACGTGAGCTATCGGGGATACATGTCAGTGATCTTTAGTCTCAGTTTCCAGGAGAGGTGAGCCAGAATCTGATGCAACATGGGAGTGAATTCATCCAACTCCTACTGTTCCCTTCTGTGGAAGGGGCAGACATTCACATTACATTCCGGGCCTGCCCATGTTCTCATTAACTTCTCCTCAAAGGGGAGTGCTATTCGGTTGGTGAATCTGGGAAAAAGAGCTTTGGGAATAAATACTTGGGCTATTTCTTCTAATAGGGACTGAACTGTTTACAGGGAGTGAACATTCTCTGCTCCTTCATGTGACCGATTTTAAGGAGCTGTCCCCACATGAGGAGCTGCATAACAACCCAATTATACGAGGATGGATTGGTACATTTGTCTACTTAGGTATTCAATCCTAGGGAGACCACTAGTAGATATAAACCACATCCTACAATTTATATCAACTCAATGACTCAAAAAGGTATATGTGTTAATTCCAATATATTTTGCTATTTTATTTCTCAAATGAGTTAGGATATGGATGGAGAATGGAGGTGCTGAGTACTGGGTATGCCACAATACCATGGTATCTTGGAAGGGGGGTGCCATCACTCTTACTAAATAGTTGGCAACAGAAACATAGGACATGGGACCAGCAGATGGCATAATGGTTATGTCACTGGACTACCACAAGATCAACTGTGGTTTATGTCCTGGACTCAGAGGCTTAAATTCATGCCAGACATAGGTGCGTGCCTGCCTAAAATCCCCAAGAGGAGAATAGAGGAGAAGGGATTGTGGCGTGGCCATCCTCCCTGGGTGGTGATTTCTCACTTTCTGTCTCTGTCTCTCTCTGTCTGTTCGGAGAGCACATGTGCCCTATAGCAAATATCTCTCTTAAAAATAAAAAATTTAAAAAAAGGAAAAGAGAGAAAAAAAGGAAATGTGAGACATGTCCACTACAGGCAGTGCTGGAATTATAAGAATTCGAGAGCTCCCACACGACCCCTAGTAGCCACAGGTTATACCTTCCTGTCTTTCAGTTTCTGCCTCAGAGAGGGTGAGAGGGAGGGAATCAGGGGTAAAAGAAAGAAGCAAAATAAATATTTGAGGAATACAAAATGGAAAATTATCTGCTGCTGATGATGTGTACAGTACTAACTTTGGCTGGCCTAATATGCAGTGTATTCATGCTGGGAAAATTCATTTGGAATGCTATAATGATATGCAATAATTAAATATAAAATAATAATAATAATAATAAATAAAGGTTTAAAAAATAATTAGGGAGAGGCAGATGGTACAATTGTTATGTTGTTGGACTGCCATGTAGTTGACCACAGTTCAAGTCCTGGACCCAGCAGCTTAAACTCATCCTGGGTGCATGTCCGTGCATGCCCAAAATTCTAAGAGGAGACTGGAGAAGGGATTGTGGCATGGCCACCCCTCCTCAAGTGTATTTCTTGCTTTCTGTCTCTCTGGGTCTCCAGTGAGTACATGCACCCTATATCAAAAATCTCTCTCTAAAAAAAAAAGAATTAAAGAGCTATATAGATAGTGAGATCCAAAATAGAAATAATTCAAAATAAATAAGTGATTTCTTTCTAGTTTTGCAAGAATTCTGTGTAAATGGATTGTTTATTTATTTTACAAAAGTGTGTGTTGGAAACCTGCAATATGCCATATCCACTTGAATTTTCTACCAGAATTTCAAAACTCTGTATCTATAAAGCAGAGCGTACCAGCTTCCTACATGAATATGCCCATTCTCCTGCCTCCCACATGTCTGCTAATGGTGTCACCATGCCATCATGATCAGAGACTGAGATTCCAAATAGTAGAATAGGCTCTGGTCATTCCTTCTTCTTCACTTTTCTTTTCCCACAGGGTTATCAATTTATTTTTGTTGTTGTTTTCAGTTTTACTTAAGCAATATCTTTTCCCCACCAGTTTCTTTCTTTCTTTTTTTTTAGCAGGAGACAGAGAGAAAGAGAAAGACCAGTGGTACACTCAACAGGTTCCCACACTACAATCCCCACCCATCCTCCTAACCTTCACAGCTAAGCAAGGGGTGCATATGTACAGGTCAACTGGGAAAGTGGACAGCAATCTTCCACGTGGATCCAGCATTATTTGAGCAGCACGTTATCAGAGCACCATAGGACTGGACCTTAAGCAATATCTTTACAACCATCTCTTTCTTCCCATTCTTGTAATTATCATTATGTCACTGTTTCTCTCTTGGATAACTCCCTTTCATCTATCCTTTGCCCTACACACTATTCACAATAAAACTAATATATCTTAACATTCTTTCTTCTATCTTCTCCTGAAATAATTTTATTTGTTCATAATTTAGCACTGTTTCTCTACTATCATACTATGATTGTGTATAGGGAATACACATTATGCATCCTTTTATTCTCCACCAACTGAGAGTATCTCTGGCATACTGTTGCTATGCATATGTGTGTGTGTGTGTGTGTGTGTGTGTGTGTGTGTGTATTTTTTAGAGAGATTTTTTGCTATAAGGCACGTGCGCTTGCCAGAAAGACAGAGAGACAGGAGCAGAAAGCAAAATATCACCCCCCAGGGGTGATGGCCACACTGCAATCCCTTCTCCTCCATTTTCTTCTCAGAATTTTGGGCATAGACACACATGCACCCGGTGTGAGTTTTAAGTCACCAGGTCTGGGACTCAAACTGCAGAGGACTATGTGGGGATCCAGCAACATAACCATTACGTCATCTGCTGGTCTCCATATTATTGATATTAATTATACACATATCGAACATTAAATTTCAGATACATAGTCCTATTTTTAATAAATCCCTTGCTCTTTTGGTATCTTCCAACTCATCTATTTTGATAGCTTATTGAGACATTGTTATTATTACAAAGTCTATTAGATTTAATTTTTAAAACTCTTTTTCCATGTTCTTTTATATCTCTTCCATAGGTACCTTAAAAGAACTGTCCATTATAGTTAATTATATAGTATGGACAGTTCTATATAATTTAGGAAAGTCCATCCAATTTAATAACATTTTCCTAAAGAAAAAGTGCTCAAATTTGTAACTTATTTAAAAATTTTGGGACCAGCAGGTGGCGTGGTGGTTAAGGTGCTGGACACTCCCACATGGCCAACCATGGTTCGAGTCCTGGACCTGGTGGCTTGCTTTCTCACTCTCTCTTTCTCTCTCTCATCAAGTTTTTTAAAATTAATGAATAAAATTAAATAATTCTTTAAAAAATTTATCTCTACTATTACTCATACTTAAAAGTGAAAAAGTACACACAGTGAATAATTTTTGTAATACATATAAAACTAAGAAACAAAAATCTGGCATAGATTTAAAAACTCTCATTGGTTTTCTTATAGGTGATGTTCTTAAAATTTGTATAACTTCTTGGCAAAATGGCTGTCTTAAGAGATTTACGTTTGTGTGCACATAAGCGTATAGAAAAACCAGAGACATTTTGAAGATTTGTGAGAACAACACAGAACATTTGAAATGCAAACCATACTAAAAATCCAGGATGAGAACCAGCAGTTAGCATAATGGCTATGTCACTGAACTCCCATGTAGTTGACCACGGTTCAAGTCTCAGACCCAGTGGCTTATACTCATGCTGGACACATGTTTGTGTGTCCCCAAGATCCCGAGAGGAGAATGGAGGAGAAGGGATTGCGGCGTGGCCATCCCTCCCAGGGGTGATTTCTCGCTTTCTCTTTCTCTGTCTCTCTCTGTCTTTCCGGCAAGCACACGTGCCCTATAGCAAAAGCCTCTCCAAAAAAAAAAAAAAAAGATCCAGGATGTTTGGTTGCCCTATCTACGTGGTAAAACAGAAATGAGCCTTCCTGAGAATGCTGAAGAAACAGAAATTTCTGTGCCACCATGAAGGTTACTGTCCTTCCTTCCTTTATTATAAGGATAGCGTCAAGAAGATTTACATAAATATATAATGTCATACAGTATTACCTTGGCTGATGAGTCATTCAAGACTTTTTCCGAAAGAGGTAGATTTTCCAGTCCTTGAAGAAGTTCTTTGGGAAATCCATCGATACAAGAGCAAGAATAGAGCTGTAAGAATTTTTTTAGGAAAAAATGCATTTCCTTTTGGCGCAAAATCAAATCAGAGTTGTAAAGGGATGTGAGAAGCGTATCATCTGGCAAAGAAATTCCAGATACTGGCGTTGCAGATGCTTAAAGAAGAAGAAAACACTTAATTTAGGGTCATGGTAGATAACTGAATGATCTCAATCTCGTATTTGCTCATTAACCACTCTCCTCATATATTCTCCACCTCCGCTAGTGGCTGTCAACGGCCTTCTCTGTTTTTAGAACTTACACCTTAATGAAATTGCTTCTTGCCACAGGAAGGAAAGAAAACTTCAGTAGCACAAGAGGATATTGCTTCAGGTTTTAAGAATTAACAGTGGCATGATGCCGTGTTATCTGTCTACCTGTCTTATTTGGGGCTCCTCCAGAACAGTTCCTAAAGCATGAATTTGAGTGCAGCTAGTTTGTTTGAAAAAAATATCTCAAGAAGCACAAGTGAGAGGAGAGGCGAAATGTGACGGAGAAGATAAGAGCCATCAGGGGTGAGGAAATGAGTGAACTACAGCTGTGGGCAGTGAGGGCTCAGTCCCACTGGGGACCTTCTTAAAAACCATGCAGAACTGTCCCACTGAGAGACTGCAATGTTTTCTACCAACTCCCTACCTCATTAGTTGGTTATTCCTGGATATATGGAATCCCTGGCATTTCCAGGCTGTCATGTCCGCAATCTGGACAAGCCCTAGCTGCTTTCGAGAAAGCCCAAAGTAGAAAAGCAGCAGAAAGTGGTTGCTTGGCGTGAGATGTGCCAGCAGGTGAAGTCAGAGGAGGGCTGCCCTATGGCAATAGGGCCAGGCGTTGCCAGGGCTGGCTGCATTGGCCCAGACCCGCACCCTTCCCCTCTGAGGTTCCGTGTTTGAGGCCCCGTCGTAATGAACCTGTCAGCCCTGCCACCTTCCTGAGCACTTGCCTATCCCATTGCCACCCTGTGACACAGCCTATTTGCCGAGCTGGCTTCTCCATCATTGTGTCCTGTGTGGATCGACCTGTCTTTTCTGACTGCTTGCACTGATAAGCAACACTAGGTCCCCGACTTCATGAACATACATAAAGCACAATAATGTACATTGTCACAAATCACAAGAGGAATTGATGTAAAGCAGACTTGATCAGTTTTTCTAGATATTTTTTAAGTAGCAGTAATGATTTAACAAGCAAAACAAAGCAAAATTCCAGGGAGTACATATCCCATTTGAAGTCATGCATTCCTTCTTTTTCACATCCTGGATACTAGAACATTCTCTCCCTAAAGCCCAAATTTCATCTCGTTCATGTTATAACCTGTCGCATTGCGATCACTGGTTCTTACCTGTTTTGAGCCAGGGACTTATTTTTGGCAGTCTGGATGCCTCATTGTCCAATGTTTTTAAATATATGAAATAAAATACATAGAATTCCTAAGAAAGTCAATTACATTGAAATACTCTTCTCTCCAAAAGTATGTGTATCCCAGATTAAGAACCCCTGAAATATTCTCTTCTACTGAGAGTTTACTCAGAACAATGTCAAAAGTATTTTATAGATCTAAATAAGAAACATGACTTATACAGGAACTAGAAAGAATTATGTTCTTTCTAAATACATCACATCATAATCTTACCTAGCAGTTTGCTCATATTATTAATTCTTTGAAGGTGAATATAGTAGCGCAGCAGAAGAATCCATGTAATATCCACTTTGGCCAGTGTCTTGTTCCCAGAATCTGTGTTGTCACACATGTCATCATTTTGATATAAACAGGTATAGCATGTCTGGAAGACAACTTGGTAGTTATCTGAAACAGGAAAAAAAAAAAGTGTGTAAGACACTATTATGCTTTCTTAGATAACCATATGCAGGAAAAAAAGTGTAACAATAGGAAAAACTAACATACAAGATTATTCTCATTTAAAAATTTTTTATATTACAAGGAGACAAGCCACAAAGTTAAAAGACAAATCATAGAATAAGTTATTTAGATCATATATGAGTTATTTTTTCTTTAATATGTATAAACACCTGTACCAACAAATTAGGAAAAGTCAAGCCATCTATTTCAAAGATAATTCATAGGAATCGTAGGCAACAGATTTCAACAGGCAATTCATAGGAAAGTGAACCCAAATGATCAAAAATTTTAACATCACTAAAAATCCAGGAAATGCAAATTAAAAAGCAATATGATTTCACATCCCTCAGGAATTGAAAGACACAAAAACCTGAAAATAATACATGTTGGTAATAATGTGAAGAAACTGGAATTTCCATAGATAGCTTGTGAAAGCAACTTTTTGGAAAAGTAATTTGGCAGAATCTAATAAAACAAAATATGCAAATATCATATATGTGTATCTTGCACAGAGCTGTTTGTGGCAGTGTTTTTTGTAATATAGAAAAGGGGAACCTTAAGAAATATGTCTATTCATTTGATGTTGTTCATAATGAGTGAGTTAAATCCATAAAGGAGAAAATACAGCGCAGTCCCAGTTCAGAGCTATGGTACTACCCACTAGTGGATAACCTGGAATCTCTCTGTGCTTTGGGCCTCTGGGCTTTTGATCTTCTGAGTCTTAATTTTCTCTTTGTTTTCATAATGGGCATGATAAGGATGGTTATGGATAGAACTTGAGAACACGTAAGTTAACAAGCATGTTCTAAATGCTATATGGAGTATGATTCCACTCACAAAAATTTGAAAACACTCAAAATAATTCTTTGTATCATTTATGTATATACATGAGCATATATATCTATATCTATATCTATCTATCTATATATATATAATATTTTATTAGAATAGTGCTTGTCTTTGAGAAGAAAAGAGAGAGAGACAAATAAAATCTTCTATGGCTAATCAACTAAGCATGTTTTCTAGAATAATAAAATAAATCCCCATGTACCCAACACCAGCTTAGAATTTTGGAGTATTTGTAAGATTCTCTCTAATTACTTTTCTTCTCTGCCTGAGCCCATCTCCCAGAAATAAGCACTATTCAGAATTTTGGATTAAAAATCCTATAGCTGCTGGGACCAGCAGTTAGCGTAATGGCTATGTTGCTGGACTCCCAGGTAGTCGACTGCAGTTTGAGTCCTGGACCCGGTGACTTAAACTCACACCAGGCGAGTATGCAGGTGTGCCCAAGATCCCAAGAGGAGAGTGGAGGAGAAGGGATTGCGGCGTGGTCATACCCCCTGG